GGTTCAGGTTAGGTATGTCTAGTCTAGTGAGAAGAAGGACTAGGGAGCTGGGGTGGGCTTCAAAAATTTTAGCAAGGGGTTCTCTGCCTGGTTGCTGGGTGGGTGTGGCCATGGTGGGTTTCACGCCTAAGGCGGGAGTAGAATTCACAGTCTCCTAGTGATTGGCCCAATGTTAACCAACCGGCTTTCAGGCCTAAAGCAGGACTACAACTCACCATCTCCTGGTGATTGGCCTAAAGTCAGCCAGCTGGCTTTCATGGCTAAGGAAGGATCTGAACTCACAGCCTCCTGATTTCTAGCCTAGTGCCTTAACCGCTGATCCAAACGGGCTCTCTCTATATCGGTGGTCCGTGGACCACTGGTGATCCGTGAGAAAATTTTGGTGGTCCGCAGAAAAATTGTTTGCATTTTTTATACTGCACTAAATCAGGGGTCCTCAAATTACGGTCCCTGGACTGGATATGTGCAATGAACGTTTGTGTTGCTGCAGAGAGTCTCCCCCTTTGGGGTCTTTTTTTGCGGGTCGGAGGGGGGGCAGAAATTCCGATTTGGGGTCTGCTTCAGCCTCCTGGTGTGGGGCTTTGGGCGAAGGCTGGAGGGAAGTGCCACTGGTAGCGAAGAGCCGGAGGGCCTTGTTCCAGTGGGACTGCATCATGGCCTGGAACTGGCTGACCATCTCAGCCCGCTGAGCCTCCAGGTGCCGGTACCTGGCCTTGCACTCCCGCAGGTCTTCCCTCTGCTTGGAAAGCCTATGCTCCTAGTCCTCAGTGAGGTGCTTCTGCGGCGCCTCCTTCTCGGCCAGATCCAATTTGAACTGAGCTGTTTTGCCAACTCTTTCTCGTGGGGGCTGCTTAGCTCCAACAACTGCTTCCTGTTGGGGCTCTAAGGAGCCCAGGTGGGGAGGCGAGGAGAAGCTGGGAGGGGAGGGGCAAGTAGAGGCTGGCGAGGCACCCCTTGGACGTGAGTGACATTGAGTTGGCCACGCCCACCCAGTCACATGACCACCTAGCCACACCCACCCAGCCCGTCATTAGGCAGATCATATTAGTGGTCCGTGGGATTTAAAATTATGAATTTAGTGGTCCCTGAGGTTCAAAAGGTTGGAGACCCCTGCGCTATATGGCTCTTTTACAACCAAAAGGCTAAGAAATCCAGCAATTTGGATTTCTGCAAATACTCTCCAATCCTCATTTTTGAAGAAAATCCTAGAAATGCAATCCTTCTAGTTTTTTTTCTTAAATAAGTGTAGGAAGTTAGCACCCACCCCTTTCCTGGAAGAATGAAATATTTTAGGAAATATTGAAAAGGCAGAATATTATGTTTCCCTGGTTGAGAAATGGAGAAACATGTTTTAAAGACAAAGCAACTCCCACCTTCCTGCCTCCCCCCACCCCCACCCCTTTTGTTAATGGGCCAGAGGCAGAAACTCAATCTTTGACAGTAGGACCCATCTGCAACACAATAGCAACAGAAACGTAACACAATGGGACCCATCTAGCAACAGAAACTCACCACATGGCACCTGGAAGATTATATCAGCCAGCAAGGCTAGCTAAGACCCCCACCCCCTGGGAGTCAGACAACCAATCAGGATACTCTTTCGGGGCCCCAAGAAATGCAAAGCCAGAGAGGGCATAAAAACGCGAGGATTTACTGTATCTGCCCCTTTTCTGTTCAGGAACTCAAGCCATGTGATCCTGTCCACCATTAAACCATCTTTCCAAGCAGTCTCCATGTTTCCAGTGTCTTTTTCCCCACTTGGAGCAGAACCCAGAAGGATATTTCTTCCAACAATAGTAAATAATATAACCCTGAACAGAAGAAGAGAGAGAATGTCAAGGGGCTTTAGCAGATAACATTTCTTTTTTATTTGCCTCTGGGCCACTCAGAAGCCACTCAAATGTCAAGATAACTTTTAGCAGATAACGGTAGGGAAGGGGTGCTGAGTGATCCCAGCTGAATACATACCAAAGAATCAAAAGGCGGCCGCTTTTACAAAAGATCCGGACAGGCCATTAAAGCATCCATCTCTAAAGGGAGACACTGTGATAAGAAGGTCAACAGAGAGGAAAGCCGATGACAACAAGGAAACGCAAGCGACAGCAACACAACTGGAACAAGGCACACAATGGTGTCAAAGAATGTGAATGAAATAAGGGATCCGTTCAAGTGGTAAGTCAGTTTTTCTCCAGCCTGATCAACGCTCTGATATATATTATATATATATTTATATTTATTATATTTCTATACCGCCTTTCTCCCGTAGGACTCAAGGCGGTGTACAGTCAAGAAAAATATAGACACACAAACATCATAAAATTGCTAATTAAAATTGTTACTTAGTTTGGTCAATTAAATAAAACCCAGAATTAGATAACATTTAAAAAATCATTCGCATGTTCGTATGTTTAGCCCCGCCTGTTGGAACATCAGGGTCTTGAGGGCACGGCGGAAAGCACGGAGATCAGGGATATTCCGTATCTGCGGGGGCAGTTCATTCCAAAGGGTTGGAGCCCCCACAGAGAAGGCCCTCCCCCTGGGAATCGCCAGTCGACATAATTTGGCTGACGGTACCCTGAGTAGTCCCTCCCTGTGAGAACGAACTGGTCGGTGGGAGGCTATCGGTGGCAAAAGACGGTCTCGTAGGTACCCAGGTCCTAAGCCATGGAGCGCTTTAAAGGTGATAACTAACACCTTGAATCACACCCGGAAGACCACCGGGAGCCAGTGCAGCTCGCGTAGGAGAGGTGTTACATGGGCGTAACGAGCTGCGCCCATAATCACCCGCGCGGCTACATTCTGGACCAGCTGGAGCCTCCGGGTGCTTTTCAAGGGGAGCCCCATGTAGAGAGCATTACAGTAGTCCATACGGGAGGTAACTATATATATATATATATATAAATATAGAGTCCGTCTTTTGGAATTTGTTTGTGAGTGAAGGTACAAAATAGCCGCAATCGCAAAAAAGACACACGGATCGGATGGAAATGAGCAGGATGGCACAATGCCATTCAGGTTATTTTTAACCTTGTTTTTCTAAGCAAGGACAACAGCGTCCCAATGGATTATTCTCCTTATCTGCCGGGATGGTTAAACTGAGATGCTTCCTTTATCTCTCTCTCTCTTTTTTTTTTTAAAGTCAAGACTTGACTGCCAAGAATGAATTTCAGCTTCCTATTTCGGTGGTGTCAAATTGTCTGGGTTCATGCATTGGGATAGGATAGGATACAGGGGTGCTATTCAATAGGTTCTGACAGGTTCTGGAGAACCGGTAGCGGAAATTTTGAGTAGTTCAGAGAACCGGCATTCCAGTGGGAATGGAGATTTTGTAATATCTTTCCCCCAGGAGTGGGGAGGGAATGGGGATTTGGCAGTATCCTTCCCCTGCCATGCCACCAAGACACGCCCACCAAGCAACACCCACAGAACTGGTAGTAAAAAAAAAATTGAATTCCACCATTGGTAGGATAGGATAGGATAGTTTAGTTTAGTTTAGTTTAGTTTAGTTTATTTGATTTGTATACCGCCCTACTCCCGAAGGACTCAGGGCGGTGAACAGCCAAGCAATAAAATACATAAATACACAAAATTTAAAACCAGATAAAATCAAATTAAATCATTTTGGCCCAGACAGATTAAAACACCCCAATAATTTAAAAACAGATTAAAATTTACATATTAAAAGAGGGAGGAGATTAGGCCAAGCCCGCTTGATGGAATAAAAAGGTCTTCACAGCGCGGCGGAAGGTGCGCAGATCCGGAATCCTCCGTATCTCTGGGGGGAGCTCATTCCAGACGGTAGGTGCCCCCACAGAGAAGGCCCTCCCCCTAGGGGCCGCCAGTCGACACTGTTTGGCTGACGGCACCCGGAGGAGTCCCTCTCTATGAGAGCATACTGGCCGGTGGAAGGCTATTGGTGGTAGTAGGCGGTCCCGTAGATAACCAGGTCCTAAGCCATAAGGATAGGATAAAGAATAGAATAGAATAGAAAATATGGAATGGAATGGAATGGAATGGAATGGAATAGAATAGAATAGAATAGAATAGAATAGAATAGAATAGAATAGAATAGAAAATATGGAATGGAATGGAATGGAATGGAATGGAATGGAAAGGAAAGGAAAGGAAGAGAAGAGAAAAGAAGAGAAGAAAAAATATGGAACCGAACGGAACAGAACAGAATAGAAAATATGGAATGGAATTGAATGGAATGGAATGGAACGGAACGGAACGGAACAGAACAGAACAGAACTGAATAACCTTATTGTCACTTTGCATGTACACTGATCAGCATACATTAAAATGAAATTTTATTTCTGCAGGGATTACTCATTTAACAACTGCAGGGACTAGGTGGCTCAGTGGCTAAGACACTGAGCTTGTCGATCAGAAAGGTTGGCGGTTCGAGTCCTTAGTACAGGTCTTTTGTGGTGAGCAGTGGGGTTGGACTAGATGGCCTCCAAGGTCCCTTCCAACTCTGTTACTGTTACAGATACAGTAATCTGACTTGTTACTTGAGAAACGTAGCAAGGAAAGTCGCAAAATGGAGCAAAGCTCACTTAATTTCTCACATAGCAACCTAAATTTTGGGCTCAATGGGGGGTCGTAAATTGAGGACTATTTGTACACGCTGCGTAGAGCGCCCTCCTCTCGCCACAATGGAGCTCAAGGTATTTCCATTCCTGAACTACCTCCCCCATAATTCCTCGCGGCAAGGATTGGGTGGGGCCTCTTTCCTAAGGATTAGACACCCAAATGCCTGATTGATTTGCCAACCCACGGCCGGACAGAGAAAACGGCCTTCCTCGAGAACGCACACATACGTATCCCTATTGTTCTGGATGGCGCTGGGCGGGGGGGGAATTAAAAAAAAGGGGTAAAAAAGGACCGAGAGGCTATTCCTCTCAGGCGCAAAGGCCACCGCTCCGCGCTCTCCAACGCATGCGCGATGCGGTCAAGAGGAGGGGGATTTAAAAAAAAAAAACCCTGAGGACCCCGACCGGAAGAGGCGGGCCTTAGCGCCATCCCCGCCCGGCGCCCCTTGTCATTGGCGGCCCTGCTTTGGAGGCACCGCAGGGACGGCGGCGATGTCTTGCTGCGGAAGCGGCGCCGGAGGCCTCGGCCGCCTCCTTCTGCTCCGTAAGTGTGTGTGTGTGTGTGTGTGTGAGAGAGAGAGAGAGAGACCGGCCGAAAGGGGGGGCGCCCTCCCCTTCCGGCCGGGGTCACGTGACCGCGGGGGGGGTCCCTTCTTGTCCGAGGGACTACAAAGCCCATCATCCCCCCAGGGTAGTTTCAGGGCGAGGCAGGCTGGGGATGATGGGTGGTGGGGGGGAGAGGAGGGAAAGGCTAGGCCACGCTGGCAGAACGGGGGGGGTGAGTGGGTGGGGGGGGCGGGAAAGGGACTACCTCCTTACCCATCATCCCCAGCCGGCCTCATCCTGGCCCAGTTAACATTGGGCGACAGGACAGGCCTGGCCTTTTTTTCCCTTCCTGGCTAACTTGGAGCATCTTTTTTTTTTTTCTCCCCCCTCCCAGCCTGGCCTTTTTTTTTTTTTTCTTTCCTTCCCCTTTTGGTCCTGGACTACAGCTCCCATTATCCCCAGCCAGCAAGGCTTCTCTCTTTTTTTTGTGATTCCCCCCCTTTCCCCCCCCCTACTTCCCATGGTTCCCATCGCCCGGGGGAGGATTATTGTTTTTTTTGGGGGGGTGGGGGATCAAATCAAGGTGTCCCATCCAGGAGTCTTTTAAGGACCTGGAGTGACCTAAAACCCCCCCTGAATAAAATGAAATAAATAAAAAGTGGAATAAAGACCAAAAAAAAAAAAAATGGAATAAATGAAAATCTCTTGCGACGGAACTCCCTTCGGCCGTATTGGAGTGAGGCCTGTGAGCTACAAGACGGTTGGGGCCTCCTTGCCTTGCTACTACAGGGTTACTCTCCTGGAAAAGGAACCGATTCCATCCATTCAGATTAAAGGGAATCGATTCGGAGAGTTAAAAGTTTGGTCCGAGTGGTTAAGGCGCCTGGTTAAAAAGCAGGTGACGGTGAGTTCTAGTCCCGCCTTGGCTATGAAAACTGATTGGGTGACTGTGAGCCAATCACCAGGAGACTGTGAGTTCTAGTCCCACCTTAGCTATGAAAGGCGGCTGTGACTTGAGCCAATCACCAGGAGACAGTGAGTTCTAGTCCCGCCTTAGCTATGAAAGGCGGCTGTGACTTGATCCAATCACCAGGAGACAGTGAGTTCTAATCCTGATTTAGGTATGAATGCTGCCTGGGTGACTTTGGACCTATCACCAGGAGACAGTGAGTTCTAGTCCCACCTTAGCTATGAAAGGCGGCTGTGACTTGATCCAATCACCAGGAGACAGTGAGTTCTAGTCCCACCTTAGCTATGAAAGGCGGCTGTGACTTGATCCAATCCCAGGAGACAGTGAGTTCTAGTCCCACCTTAGCTATGAAAGGCGGCTGTGACTTGATCCAATCACCAGGAGACAGTGAGTTCTAATCCTGATTTAGGCATGAATGCTGCCTGGGTGACTTTGGACCAATCACCAGGAGACTGTGAGTTCTAGTCCCACCTTAGCTATGAAAGGCGGCTGTGACTTGAGCCAATCACCAGGAGACAGAGAGTTCTAGTCCCGCTTTAGGCACGAATGCTGCCTGGGTGACTTTGGACCAATCACCAGGAGACCGTGAGTTCTAGTCCCGCCTTAGCTATAAAAGGTGGCTGTGACTTGAGCCAATCAACTCTAAAATGTTTTTTTTTTTAAAAGAAAGTGGGATTTTTGTTTGAATACTGGCAGATCTATTGTATCCCGAATATCTGCAGAGAACAAGAATTGGATACTTTCATTGCTAAAATTGTGATGAGTTGATAACTGCCCTGTGTGGACAGCTAGTGTGTGCACCATCCTCACAGAAGTGTGTTTTGTTTGCAGATGGGGCTGGGCGCTTGATAAAAGTAACAACACGTAGTAAGGCAATTCTGCTTGGAAAGTTTAGCTTGGGTGTCGTGTGCACAATCGTGGCTCCTTCAAAACATTTAACTCCTATTTGTTGGTACTTATAAAATGCAAATACAATTGTCAATCTGTGCAGGAGAATCTCAAGAGTTACATTTCCTCATTTTGCTCTTAAGTCCTGTCGACCTGCATTCCTTCTCTTTCTTAAAACAGCAAAATTAAAAAATGTAATAATGCAATATGAAGTTCAGTTCCTGGCTAAGTATTAAGTCGGGCAAAGGTCTGAGTCTTAATTGCTCTGTAATTCATTAAACAAGAGGTAACTACTGCAAAAATAATAAGCTTTGGTGACATCCAGTATAGCAGAGGTGTCCATCTTTGGCAATTTTTAAAACTGGTGTACTTCAACTCCCAGAATTCCCCAGCCAGCCAGCATGGCTGGCTGGGGAATTCTGGGAGTTGACGTCCACAGGTCTTAAAGTTGCTAAGATTAGACACTAAACACTACACGGTTTCACTCCTTAACCTTCCTAACTGGAATGTTGGCTATTTCCAACATTCCCTCGGGAGAAGGGTGGTATACAAATATAATAAACTAACTAACTAACTAACTATTTCTGTATCTTTGATATAATTCACATTTGGCTGGAGAATCAGTGAAGACTTTTAAAAAGAGTTTTAAAATCTCTGTTCTCCTAAATATACTGAGCAGGGTGGATTTGATTTAAATCGAGTTGATTTAAATCGCAATTTAAATCAAGATTTAAATCACTAGTAAAAAGGCTTGATTTAAATCAACTCGATTTAAACCATAATTTTTAAAGAGCAACTGTCATCTCTGCTACTCCTTTGACCCACTGTTGACTCACCGATAGTCCCAGTGTTGCAGAATATACATCCTCGTGCTACATAACTAAGCTCCATTTCATGCTGAATAAACTAAATTATTTGTGTATCTTAAATAGAAAACCATCTTACGATAGATTTTTACCCCAAAAGTTTTTTATTAAAATAAATTCGATAAAAATAAAAAAAATCTGATTTAAATAAAAAAAATCCGATTTAAATCAAAAAAATCTGATTTTTTTGATTTTTTTAAAAAAATCATTGATTTTTATCCACCCTGCATAAAACACACCGACATAGAAAAAAACAGAAGGGACAGATTCTCCCTTAGAAAAGACTACTGCCTTGCTAGAGACGGATCCACCCTACAGTAGTGGCCAAAATTGTGGAAACCTTTTGGGAAAAGTGTATTTTTGAGGTTTAATGGCAAATAACACCACTTTTTTTCTTTTGGAGTTTCAAGATCATCCTATTCCACTGCTGGAATGGCCTGGGAATAGCCCAGACCTTCACCCAATTGGAAATCTATGGAGCCGACTAAAGAAACTTGTTAGTCAGAAGCGGCCCAGCAATAAAACCCAGTTAATAGAAGCAATCCTTCAATCTTGGTTTCACATTAGAACAGCTGCAGAACTCAAAGACTTGGTTCACTCCATGGGAAGATGTTGTAAGGCTGTAATTCATGCTGAAGGTTACCCAACTAAGTATTAACTGACATGGGGATAATTTTTGTATCTCTTGTTTTTTCTATGGTGATCATTTTTGTCTACCTTGTTTTTTCTATGTGTTTCACTTTTCTTCTTTATACTGTAACTGCTATTCTAATAGCAAATCCTTCATAAAAGTTATTGCATTACATTCTTGACTAAATTATCTTTCCATTGATATATAATTTTATGGTACTACTCCCCCCAAAAAAGTGGTGTTATTAGCTACTTTTAGAAAATACACTTTTCCCAAAAGGTTTCCACAATTTTGACCACTACTATAAAGCCCAAGGAAAAGTTTAGCCAGCCAGAAATGGGGCTAGGTCAGGGGTGAAATCCAGCAGGTTCTGACAGGTTCTGGAGAACCGGTAGCGGAAATTTTGAGTAGTTGGGTGAACCGGCAAATGCCACCTCTGGCTGGCCCCAGAATGGGGTGGGAATGAAGATTTTGCAATATCCTTCCTCCAGGAATGGGGAGGGAATGGGAATTTTGCAGTATCTTTCCACTGGAGTGGGGTGGGAATGGAGATTTTGCAATAACCTTCCAGGAGTGGGGAAGGAATGGAGATTTTGCAGTATCCTTCCTCCAGGATTATTATTATTATTATTATTATTTATTAGATTTCTATACCGCCCTACTCCCGAAGGACTCAGGGCGGTGCACAGCCAAACAATAAAAACACATACAATACAAAATTTAAAAAATAGAATAAAATCAAATTAAATAATTTTGGCCCCGACAAATTTAAAACCCCAAACTTTTAAAACCAATTTAAAATTGAATATATAAATACTAAAAAATATTTAAAATTTTAAAAATCTTTTATAAAAGAGGGGGAAAATTAGGCCAGGCCGGCCTGGTGAAATAGTAAGGTCTTTAAGGCGCGGCGGAAGGTGCGCAGATCCGGGATCCTCCGTATCTCTGGGGGGAGCTCGTTCCAGATAGGATTGGGGAGGGTATGGGAATTTTGCAGTATCCTTCCCCTGGAGTGGGGTGGGAATGGAGTTTTTGCAATAACCTTCCAGGAGTGGGGAAGGAATGGAGATTTTGCAGTATCCTTCCTCCAGGATTGGGGAGGGAATGGGAATTTTGCAGTATCCTTCCCCTGGAGTGGGGTGGGAATGGAGTTTTTGCAATATCCTTCCCCCAGGAGTGGGGAGGGAATGGGTTTTTTTGCAGTATCCTTCCCCTGGAGTGGGGTGGGAATGGAGATTTTGCAATATCCTTCCCCCCAGGATTGGGGAGGGAATGGGAATTTTGCAGTATCCTTCTCCTGGAGTGGGATGGGAATGGAGATTTGCAATATCCTTCCTCCAGGAGTCGGGAGGGAATGGAGATTTTGCAGTATCCTTCCCTTGGAGTGGGAAGGGAAGGGAGATTTTGCAGTATCCTTCCCCTGAAGTGGGAAGGGAAGGGAGATTTTGCAGTATCCTTCCCCTGGAGTGGGGAGGGATAGGGGATTTTGCAGTATCCTTCTCCTGCCACGCCCACCAAGCCATGCGCACAGAACCGGTAGTAAAAAAAATTGAATTTCACCACTGGGTTCCCAGTATTACTCTGATCAAGTTAACTGTCCAATCAGTTTCCAGTTTTTTCCTGTGCATTTGTTCCAATGTGTACATATATATATATATATATATATATATATATATATATATATATATATATATATATATATATTAAATAGCAGGGCGTCTTTCCTATAATTGATGCATCTTAAGCTGCTGAAAATTTGCAGATGCTCTAAAGATGAATCATTTATCGTTTTTCCCTTTTTTCGTGTTGTTGTTTATAGTGCAGAAGAATGGGGTACGGCACTGCTCCTATTCGGCCACCCGGAAAAACCTGTACATCACTAAAGATACAAAGGTTATTTGTCAAGGTTTCACTGGCAGACAGGTACGTGCCCGAATGGCCAATTTCTTGTACCTTTGCTCATGTTGTAGTCCAGTAGCTTTTGCTGTACATTTCCGGGAAGCGTAGAATTCCTTATCAGGGCTTCCTTATTGCAGAGATCTGAAGTACAAGCAGGCCTGCCTCTACTTACCATCGGTTGATTAGCAACTTTTTGAAGTTTACCATGGACCCACCAAAAAAGGATTTATGACCCGAATCTGAAGTACTGATGGCCTCTCACACTCTCTCTGTGTCTCACACACTAAAGGTCACATAACTGCACTTCAGGGGCTTAGCAACACAGTTGTATGTAAGATGAGATGAGACAAGCAAGAAGCAAAGATAACCTTTATTATCCTTTTTTTACTGGGAGCACACGGGCCCACATTAAAAATGAAATTCTGTCAAAAGAAATGATATTGATGTATTGCACACATACACATTCTATACACACATCTATTCATCCATCTATTCTACACTGTACTGTACTCTCTCTTTCTCTTAACTATACTAATACGATACTATACTATCCATCCATCCATCATCCTATCCTATCCTCTCTCACACACACACTATACAATACTAATACTATACTGTATTATACTAATTCTATACTTATACTATATTATACTAACCCTATGCTATACTATGAGGAGATCAACCCTGACTGCTCTTGAGAAGGCCAGATCCTGAAGAGGAAACTCAAATACTTTGGCCACCTAATGAGAAGGAAGGACTCCCTGGAGAAGAGCCTAATGCTGGGAGAGATTGAGGGCAAAAGAAGAAGGGGACGGCAGAGAACGAGGTGGCTGGATGGAGTCACTGAAGCAGTCGGCGTGAGCTTAAATGGACTCCAGGGGATGATAGAGGACAGGAAGGCCTGGAGGAAAATTGTCCACGGGGTCGCGATGAGTCGGACATGACTTTACAACTAACAACAACAACAACAAAATGCTATGCTATATTATACTAATACTATATTATACTAATACTATATAATACTAATACTATACTATACTATACTATTTTATACTAATACCGTGATGGTGAACCTATGGCACGTATGCCACAGGTTGGCACGTGGAGCCATATCGGTGGGCACGTGAGCTCAAAAACGGGCCTTTGGTCCCACTGTAAGTCAGCAAACAGGCCATTTCCGGCCTCCGGAGGGTCTCTGGGTGAGGGTGGGGAAGGCCTAGAAAGGCTCTGGAGCCTGGGGAGAGCGAAAACGGGCCTACTGGGCCTGCTGTGCCAAAAGGGGGGAGCGCTGGGGGGTCACACCCATGCATGGGGCACATAGAATTATGGGTGTGGGCACGTGCATGCGCGCCTTCCCGCACTCCCCCCACTTTTGGCACACGATGGCAAAAAGGTTAGCCATCACTGTACTAATACCATACTATACTATATTATACTAATACTATACTATACCATACCATACCATACCATATTATACTAATGCCATACTATATTATATTATACTAATACTATACTAATACTATACTATACTATATTATACTAATGCCATACTATAGTATATTATACTAATACTATACTATACTATACTAAATTTAAACTAAACTAAACTAATACTATACCATACCATACTATATTATACTAATGCCATACTATATTATATTATACTAATACTATACTATACTAATACTATACTATACTATATTATACTAATACTATACAATACTAATACTAATACTATACCATACCATACCATACCATACCATACCATACCATACCATATTATACTAATGCCATACTTGTGCGATGTTTATGGCTGCTGACCTGCTTGCGCTGCGAGACTCCCCCCTCTCGCAGGTTTGGCCCTCCTCACTATCGAGGGCCTACCTTGATGACGGATTTTGGAATCCCGAGAGGTGGCATGCGGCGAGGAGGGGGTTGTGGGGTTTTTTGGGGAAATTTTTAGATAAGGTTTTAAAGGTTTCTGGGAGGGGGGTGGGTTTGGGGGAGAACCTGTCGGGGAGGAGGCCAGAGCCGGCTGAAGAGCACGGCACTATAGATGCGGGAACCGGGGTCAAGGAGGGGGTTAGAGCTTGTGTTATGGATGGTCATTACATCAGTACTGTGGGTGGGAGGGGCAGATATGGCAGGAGCAGGGGGCCACATCAGGTGGGAGCGCGCGCCCGCTGGCTCCAAGCGGTGGCGCGCTCCGGCCTCCAATGCTCCCCTCGTTCCCCAGGTTGCACAGACCCTCAGGCCCTGGGCCTTCGGCTGATGCTGTGCAACGCCCGGTCCGTGGTAAATAAAGCCCCCCTCATTTGTGATCTTGTTCAGGAGGGGGGAGCGGACCTGGCGGGTATTACGGAGACCTGGTTGGGCCAGGAGGGGGGGTCCCCCTCGTTGAGATGTGCCCACCCGGTTTCCGCGCATTCCATCAGCCGAGGACACAGGGAAGGGGCGGGGGGGGTGGCGGTTGTCATTAGAGAAGGTCTTGGTCCGAGGGAGGTCACTGTTCCTCAGACGGCTGGTTGTGAGTCCCTCCTTGTGAAGTGGGGTCATGGGGTGCAGATGGGTGTGCTGGTTACGTACCTGGCTCCCTGCCACGTGATGGCAGCCCTGCCCGAGCTGCTCAACGTTATAGCCGCGGTGGCGGTTGACACCCCCAGGCTTATGGTCATGGGGGATTTTAACCTGCCATCCATCGGTGAGGCGTCTGAGGCGGCTCGGGAGTTCATGGCTTCCATGACGGCTATGGACCTGACCCAGTTAGTTCATGGCCCTACTCACACGGGGGGAAACACGCTAGACCTGGTTTTTGTCTCTGGTCAGTGGTTGAGTGATCTTGAGATAGGGGATATAGTGATCGAGCCCTTGTCATGGTCAGATCACTCCCTCCTTCGCTTTGACCTTCGAACCGCCGCACCCCGCCGCAGGAAGGCGGAACCATTGAGGTGGTACCGCCCCAGGCGCCTGATGGATCCTGATAGGTTCCAGACAGAGCTTGGGCCATTTCCTGAGGCTCTGGCACACGGCTCGACTGAGGAGCTGGTGGCCGCCTGGGATAGGGCGGCCGCTGGAGCTTTGGATCGGGTCTTGCCTTTGCGGCCTCTGACCTGGCGTCGATCTCGCCTGGCTCCTTGGTTCACCGAGGAGCTGAGGGAGATGAAGCGCCGGAAAAGACGCCTGAAGAGTGGTTGGAGGGCCAGCCATTCTGAATCTGACCGAACACTGGTAAGGTCTCATATTAAGACTTACCTGGTGGCGATAAAAGTGGCGAAGTATAACTATTTTGCCACTCTTATTGCGTCATCAGATAATCGCCCGGCCGCCCTGTTTAGGGTGACCCGCTCCCTGCTCCACCAGGAAGCGCGGGAGGACCCCTTGGAGGGTAGAGCCGAGGATTTTGTACAGTATCTGTATGACAAAATTGCTCAGATTCGGGAACATCTGGACTCTGACTGGGTAGATTCAGCGGGGAGGACAGAGGCAGGTCTTGTGAGTATTATCTGGGAAGAGTTTGATTCTGTGACGCCCGAAGACGTGGACAGGATACTGGGCAGACTGAGCGCAGCCACATGTTTACTGGACCCGTGTCCCTCCTGGTTGGTGCTGGCCTCTCGGGAGGTTACACGAGGCTGGCTCCAGGGGATTATAAATGCTTCCTTGAGTGAGGGTGTCTTCCCTGCCGCCTTGAAAGAGGCGGTGGTGAGGCCTCTCCTCAAGAAACCTTCCCTGGACCCGGCAGTGTTGGCAAATTATCGTCCAGTCTCCAACCTTCGCTTCGTTGCGAAGGTTGTTGAGAGTGTGGTAGCGCGACAGCTCCCCCAGTACCTGGATGAATCGTCGTATCTGGATCCGTTCCAGTCGGGCTTCAGGCCTGGGTACAGCACAGAAACAGCATTGGTCGCGTTGGTTGATGATCTCTGGAGGGCTCGGGACAGGGGTTGTTCCTCTGTCCTGGTCCTATTAGACCTCTCAGCGGCTTTTGATACCATCGACCATGGTATCATGCTGCACCGGCTAGAGGAGTTAGGGGTGGGGGGCACCGTCCTACGGTGGTTCTCCTCCTTTCTCTCTGACCGGTCGCAGTCTGTGTTGACAGGGGGGCAGAGGTCGACCCCGAGGCCCCTTGTATGTGGGGTGCCACAAGGGTCGGTCCTCTCGCCCCTTCTGTTCAACATTTATGTGAAGCCGCTGGGTGAGATCATCCGTGGTTTCGGGGTGAAGTACCACCAGTACGCTGATGATACTCAGCTGTACATCTCCACCCCGGACCACCCCAATGATGCCCTTGAAGTGATGTCCCGGTGCCTGGAGGCCGTGCGGATCTGGATGGGGAGAAACAGACTCAGGCTCAACCCATCCAAGACCGAGTGGCTGTGGTTTCCGACATCCCGATATAGTCAATTGGTGCCATCACTGACTATTGGGGGCGAGTCACTGGCCCCCACGGAGAGGGTTCGCAACTTGGGTGTCCTCCTGGACTCACGGCTGTCTTTAGAAGAGCACATGACGGCCGTGGCCAGGGGGACTTTTTATCAGGTCCGCCTGATTCGCCAGTTGCGTCCCTTTCTGGATCGGGACTCGTTAAATACGGTCACTCATGCTCTCGTTACTTCCCGCTTGGACTACTGCAATGCTCTCTACATGGGGCTCCCCTTGAGGAGCACCCGGAGGCTCCAGCTGGTCCAGAATGCGGCCGCGCGGGTGGTTATGGGAGCGACGTGGCGCTCCCATGTGACCCCCCTCCTGCGCGAGCTGCACTGGCTCCCGGTGGTCTTCCGGGTGCGCTTCAAGGTTTTGGTTACCACCTTTAGAGCGCTCCATGGCATCGGACCGGGGTATCTACGAGACCGCCTTCTGCTACCAATAGCCTCTCACCGACCAGTACGCTCCCATAGAGAGGGGCTCCTCAGGGTGCCGTCGGCCAAACAGTGTCGACTGGCGGTCCCCAGGGGGAGAGCCTTCTCTGTGGGGGCACCTACCATCTGGAACGAGCTCCCCCCAGAGATACGGAAGATCCCGGACCTGCGCACGTTTCGCCGTGCTCTCAAAACTTTTCTATTTCAGCAAGCTGGCCTGGCCTAACTCCCATCTTTTAAATTTTTAAATTTTTTAATTCGTGATTTTACAAATTGGGTGTTTTAATCTGTGTTTCGGCCGAAATATTTAATAATTTTAAGGGATTTTTTAATATTTGTATTATCTGTATTTTATCTTTGCTGTTCACCGCCCTGAGTCCTTCGGGAGTAGGGCGGTATAGAAATTTGATTAATAAATAAATGATTAATAAATACTATATTATATTATACCAATACTATACTATACTAATACTATACTATACTATATTATACTAATACTATACTATACTTCCATCCATCCATCTATCTATCTATCATCTATCTATGCCCATGCAGTTATATACATGTAAATATTAATCACTGTCCATTTTGAATACATAGCGGAAAAGGGAAACTTGAGAATTGACAAGGCTGATGCTATATTTACAGCCGTTTGCTACATCCAGCAGTTACGCAATGGCATTTTGCAACGATTTTGCTAAAAGTTGCATGCAACGAAATTTCATTTTAACATATACCGATCAGTGTGCATTCAAAGCGACAGTAAAGTTGTTCTAAGTCCATTGCATCAGTTGTGCTTTTTGATTGTACCTCCCCACACAGGGCACTTTCCACAGTCAACAGGCCTTGGAGTACGGTACCAATTTAGTAGGAGGGATTTCGCCAGGCAAAGGGGGCAAAAGCCACTTGGGACTTCCAGTTTTTAATTCCGTCGAGGAGGTAAGACCACGGAACCACTATACGCCGAGCGCTGTTTGGGTCATTTCAATTCCGTTTCATCGCCGTGATGTTTTCTATGTGGCTGCTTTTTTTAAAAAAAAAATAGTTGTAAATTTTCTCGAGACAGAATTATCAGGTGTTTGAACCCCATCATGCAAACTCTGTTCAGCTAAGATGGGTTGTGATAGAAGAAAATATTCGTAGCTCAGGGTTGAGCTATGGAATCCTTGGTGCTCTCTGAGCTTGGTGGTTTTCTTGCAGACATTTTATTACCAAATCAGGCAACATCATCAGTGCTAGAAGGGACTGGGATTTGCGGAATGGGGAAGAGGAAGAGGACTGTTGGGGGGTCCTCTGTGTTCTCTGAACTTGGCAGTTTTCTTGCAGATATCTGTTCTGCCCCAGCTATGGACCCCAAAGAATGCAGCACACACAAAAGTCTGTTCAAACCTTAGTTTACTAAATAAACCAGTTTTTTACAACACCGGCTGTTAATTAACTGCATTAATAGCCGCCAAGAATTCAAAGAATAATCCTGAAAGCTTACTGTGATTGGCAGAATGCCCAGAAGCAATTTGCAGGAAGCTGATAAGATAAGCAAAACAAGACCCGAAGATATGTGAACGAAGTCGTTCCCTGCAAATTGCTTCAGTCGGCGTTCCTCAAATAGGCTAAGGGAGTGGCCAATTAGCCCCAAGCCTTACTCTCGAGGAGACCTCCTCCTGAGGAGCCACTCCTGCCTTTTGGCAGCTCTGCGCGCCTGTGCATCGAGAAAAGGCTCCTCCTCTTCATCCTCTTCACTTATGGGAGCTTCTGGAGGTTCTGAAGGCCCTGGCTGAATCCCCGCCTCTAGCACCACATCTTCTCCAGCCTCCTCATTGTCCGACTCGAGTGCCAGCTGCACAGGCTGCTGGCGTAGCACCACGCCAGCCTCCTCGCTGTCGGAATCAGCTACTAGCTGCACAGGCCCCTGACGGGCCACAACAATATCTCATGACCAACCTAGGTAACATCATCAGTGCTAGAAGGGATGGTTATTTTGTTCGTCTGAGTTGATCAGCCATCAACAGGCATGTAGAGATAAACAACATCTACATGCCATTCGAAAGAGACAACCATAAAGCTAAAAGACCATAAACCATAAACAGCCTTAGTAGTACAGTGGTGTAAAGCACCCTGTTATTAAGACCAGCTGCCTGCAATTACTGCAGGTTCGAATCTCGCCAGGCTCAAGGTTGACTCAGCCTTCCATCCTTTCTAAGGTAGGTGAAATGAGGACCCAGATTGTGGGGGCAATAAGCTGACTTTGTATAAATATACAAAAGTATGAAGGCTATTGCTTAATGCACTGTAAGCTGCCCTGAGTCTCCGGAGAAGGGCGGCATATAAATCAAATTAAAAAAAAACAACTCATCAGCAATCAACAGCCAGATAAGCAGAGATTAACACAGAGATTAATACTAGACCAACAATCAAATAAAGAACTACCAACTCGGGCAACCAAGCTTAACAGTAAGCAACAACATAATCAAGGAACCATCAAGAAAATCCTCACCAACACTGACAGGGCAAGCCACTAATGTATTTAAAAGTGCCTTCTGTCACTGATGATGTTATCTAGATCGGTAATAAAACGTCTGCAAGAAAACAACTGAGATTGGTGGCCTGTGCATTTGATGGCTGAAGTTAAAATGCTGGGTTTTTTTTTTAAACCTTTAAAGTCCTGAATTTTTTGAAACCAGATTCTTGGAAAGATAGTTTTTACCTGCCTGGGCCCTAACTTTTAAATTTCTGAGGTTTTGCTTGCTTGCTGGCTCTGCACAAACCCTCAGATTGTAGCATCTTTTTGACATGACTTCTCATCTTTAGATTTCCCTGTCATTTGGAATTTTTTTTTTTTAATAAAAATCCATTCTTTGTCTTGATTTCATTTACTGTGTGTTTTCATTACAGCTGATTCATTTGTTAATTTGTTCATGGACCTTTTTTTAAAAAAAGACAATTGCAAGTTTGATACTCTCTGTTAACAACAATAATCTGCATTTTTACTTTTTTTTTTTTTTTAAACTAGCAGGGTAGGAATAAAATCGGGAAGAGGTGGTGGGAGGAGATTAAGCTAAAATGTAAGATTGTAAAGGTGTATACCAAGAACATTTTCCAACAGAGTGAGGAGTGTGTTTGTTCTGTCGAAAGTTGTTAGTTCCTCAGGGTGAAAATCGTTGCGGAACCAGTCTCAAGAATAAAAAGTGGGCAGAGCATCTAATTGTATAATTACACCCTCTTAACTTAAAATTAAATACTTAGATTTTAACAGGGCTGTGTGAAACATTCAGAAGAGGGCTTCGCAAAGCTCACTAATGTGAATTAAGACCCTCTTATCAAATTGTTCAGGCAACCGCATCTTTTGCAAAGCTCTTGTAAAGGCCACAGGTGGACGACGAATAAACCGAGCGCGGCAGTTCAGGAGGGCTGATGATTTGCAGGTTTGCGTTTGAGACCCGGTTGCTGTCACGAGACTGGGCGAGCTCCCGTCACATGCTCCAGCTGACCCAGCAATTTGAAAGCAGCGGCTGCGAGTCGATAGATGGGTACCACTTTGGTGGCCAGCTTTAATGGGGACACAAAAAGAGACCCCCAACTGGGCGTCCCCTCAGCAGCGGTGATGTAACCTTTCGTCCTTTCAATCCGGAAGCTCTTCGGTGCTCTCCACATGACTGTACTAGCGGTAGTGTGCAAACGCAGCCATTGTGTGCAAAGATGTATGCTGAGAGCCAGAGATGGCTTTTAAAGCAGCAACTACATGAATCTTTCAAAAGATGCAGGTACTTTAATGAGACAAAGAGAGGTGTTTCATTTGTACTCAAAAGATGTTATAAGTCATTTAATTCAATCGCCAAGAGACAATGAGTTCTAGCCAGGGTGGATTTGATTTAAATTGAGTTGATTTGAATCACAATTTAAATCATGATTTAAATCACTAGTAAAAAGGCTTGATTTAAATCAACTCTATTTAAATCATAATTTTTAAAGAGCAACTGTCATCTCTGCTACTCCTTTGACCCACTGTTGACTCACCGATAGTCCCAGTGTTGCAGAATATACAGCCTCATGCTACGTAACTAAGCTCCATTTCATGCTGAATAAACTAAATTATTTATGTATCTTAAATAGAAAACTATCTTACGATAGATTTTTACCCCAAAAGTTTTTTATTAAAATAAATTCGATAAAAATCAAAAAAATCCGATTTAAATAAAAAAAATCTGATTTTTTTTATTTTTTTAAAAAAAAAATCATTGATTTTTATCCACCCTGGTTCTAGCCTCACTTTAGGCATGAAAGTTGGCTGTGTGGGTGACTTTGGGCCTATCGCCAGGAGATTGTGAATTCTAGTTCCTCCTAAGACATGAAAACTGCCTGGCTGACTTTGGGCCGATCACCAGGAGACTGAAATAGTTGTGACAATTCAGGACTTCCATTTCCTTTTTCACTTTTAGAAGCCTTTCAGAATCTTTCCTCCTCTACTTCAGGATGTTAAGCCAGTTTTCTGAAGGCTTCAGAGCATTTAATCTATGCTGGAGAATTGCTTTAAGGTTTAAAGAAACAGTCAAATGAATGTGGGCCCTGTCCTTTATTGATATCGGTCGGTGGCCGAATCTCCCCCATGGTCCTGTTCTGACCTAGGCTTCCCCAGCAGCACGAAGCCGGATCCTCGTCCCGATAAACCCCTTTTATTTAATTTACAGTGAATTCCTCTCCAGCAAAGTCTTTCCTCTCCCAAGGTCTTTCAAGATAGTTCACAATTACCGACCTTTATCAGGCTTGGAGAGTGGCCAGGCCGATATCTTTCAGATGCTGCAATACTTGGTAAGAATGCAGGAATGAACTAATTGTCTCCTGCAAACTCCACTCCCCTTTCTCTCCTCTTTTATTCCTTCTGGGAGGGGCCATTCGTCGTCCACCTGTGGCTTTACTCCCAAGTCGACCCTTGTTCTTGAGCTGTTCCCTTCGTCTGGCAACTCTGCGCATGCGCACACTGGGAACAGGCTCCAGCTGTTCCTCTGCCTCACTGATGTCTGACTCCGAAGGCAGCTGATAACTGTCAGACGGCCCTGGCCCCCTCTCTGCCTCTGACGCAGAGCCCTCATCAGAGCCCTCCCCAGGCTCCAGGACTGGCCCATGTTCCTCCCCAACCTCCTCACTGTCCGAATCTGCTGCCAGCTCATTTCAGTCGCGCCTCAGGAAAGCCAGGGGGGGCAAGAACGGGAATGCCTAAACGACAGATGTGTTCTTACAGCATGCTGGATTGCCTCAGTGGAAGAGTGATCTTTTTTTTTGTAAAAGAAGTGTATTTGGATCTTAGGCAAAAGTAAAAACGGGTGCTACCGCCTCGTCCATATACGTGCCGCCGCCCTTCGCTGCCGCTGCCATCAATGAAGCCATTGACGCAGAAATCTCCCTTGTTGTGTGCATTACAGAAGGTATTCCCCAGCAGGACATGGTGCGCGTCAAGCACAGGTTGCTCCGTCAGAACAAGACTCGACTGGTCGGCCCAAATTGCCCGGGAGTCATCAACGTAAGGGGGGGGGGGCGCTTGGGACGGGGAAGCTGGCGGGTTCTTCCTCTTCTTCTTTGCCCAAAGGGATCTGTGCCATGAGATTGGTAGGCCAAGGCCCAGTTTAAGGGAGGTAGCGAAAGCATTGGAGTAGTAGTCCATTCTCAGTAGTGGGGTCCTGAAGGTTGACTTCATATCTCCCTCTCTTCTCCCCTCAACCCCTTTCCTGCAGTCTTCTCCCCTTTCCTTTCCTCCTCTCCCCTCTCCGGTCCTCCTCCCCTTCCCCTTCCCCTTCCCCCTCCCCACCTCTCCTCGCCCTATTCTGTTCTCTCCTCCCCTGCCCTCCTCTTCCCTTCCCACTTTCCTCTCCTCCCTTCCCTCCTCCCTCTCCTCTCCTCTCCTCTCCTTTATTTATTTATTATTTATTTATTAGTTTGATTTATACGCCGCCCTTCTCAGGAGACTCAGGGCGTCTTACAATGCGTTAAGCAATAGCCTTCATACTTTTGTATATACCTGCTTAGTAGGGCTTTTTGCCCCCCCCCCCCAACGCGGTGTTCTTTTTTATACAAAGTCAGCTTATTGCCCCCACAAACCGGGTCCTCATTTTACCTACCTCGGAAGGATGGAAGGCTGAGTCAACCTTGAGCCTGGTGAGATTTGAACTCGCAGTAATTGCAGGCAGCTGGCAGCTAAATACTACTTAACAGTAGTTTCGCCACCAGGCTCTTTCCCCTCTCCTCTCCTCTCCCCTTCCTCTCCGTCTCCTTTCCCCTCCGCTCCTCTGTCCCCTTCTTCTCTCTCCCTCCTCCTCTCTCCTGTCTACCTCCCCCCACGCCCCCCCCCTCAATCTTGCAATCATCAAATGCCTCCCCATGGCTCAGATCATTCAACCCCCATACCTTATCTTGTAGAGTTGAGGCTATGAGGCTCAAACGAAGGGGATCCCATCATGGAAACTGTCTATGTTGAATTCTACTGCATAGTGCAATATTAATGCAGCATCCAGAATACTGCATTAATTCTTAGAATTAATGTAGAATTATTACAGAATTAATGTAGAATTATTACAGAATTCTACTTGTATAGTGCAGTATTAATGCAGAGGTTTTCAATTCAGTTGTGTAGGATGTGTGTTTTTGTTTTATTTTATTTTTTTTATAGTTTTCCTATGTAGTATATACACTGAAGATGGCATTTAATTTCATTGTACGAGGTGCAGTGACAATAAAGTAAACTTAACTTGAACTGGAGAAAAAAAGGATAATATAAATCTTCGGATAATAAATACTCTAACCCGATCTTTGCCGTTATCCTTAGTGACTGATTTGATTCCGCTTCTTCTTACCTTCAGATAGTTTTAACGTTAGGGTTAGGCATGGGGAAACATAAATTCAAAAGTCCACTTAGCTCAGAGATTCTCATTTGTTTCTCCAGGCCAGATTAACACCACTATGGAGGCAATGAAGTTTGAGGATGTTTATAAGCCTTCCTTCCTTCCTTCCTTCCTTCCTTCCTTCCTTCCTTCCTTCCTTCCTTCCTTATCTATCTATCTATCTATCTATCTATCTATCTATCTATCTATCTATCTATCTATCTATCTATCTGATTTATATGCCGCCCTTCTCCGGAGATTCAGGGCAGTTTACAATGCTTTTAAGCAATAGCCTTCATACTTTTGTATATACCTGCTTAGTAGGGCTTTTGGCCCCCCCAAGCGGTGTTCTATTTTATACAAAGTCAGCTTATTGCCCCCACAAACTGGGTCCTCATTTTACCTACCTCAAAAGGATGGAAGGCTGAGTCAACCTTGAGCCTGGTAAGATTTGAACTTGCAGTAATTGCAGGCAGCTGGTAGCTAAATACTACTTTAACAGTAGTTTAGTCCATTGCACCACCAGGCTTCCCAAGCAAAGCTGGCTGAGGAACTCTGGGAGTTGAAATCCACAAGTCTTAAAGTTGCCAAGGTTGGAGACCCCTGCTTTAGGAACTTCCTCACTGTATAGTGAGGACATTAATGAAAATAAACTTTTTTAAAAAAATCCAGCTTGAATAGCGCCACTTAAGCAGGGCTGACGGTCCCTGAAAAACGAGTTTGAAAGTCAGAGGTTCTGTAGCAATTGCATAGGGATTTCTGTGCATTCTGAATCCTTCAAAAGAGAGGCTTTGTATTTCTAGAAAGCACGCATCTTGGTGTTTTTCTAATAACTTTTGCAACAGGTTTAAAAAGATGCCTGAATCCAATCTGATCGTGTTTTTGGGGTTCTATTTTTGTTTTTAGCCTGGAGCATGTAAAATTGGTATCATGCCTGGACACATTCACAAGAAAGGAAGAATCGGTAAGTTCTGGAAAAAAATAAAATAAATAACATGGTACGTTTTTAAGAAGTCTCCTTGCTCTGTTGCACAACATTGTACATTTGAATTCATGTCCGTATCTTTAAAAAGTGCATGCAGATAAGGTTTATGTAAATGAAACTCTAGACTACTCTATAAAGCCTTAGTAAGACCACACCTAGAGTACTGCATCCAGTTTTGGTCACCACACTATAAAAAGATGTTGAGACTCTAGAAAAAGTGCAGAGAAGAGCAACCAGGATGATTAGGGGACTGGAGGCTAAAATATATGAATTGCCCCCGGAGATACGGATGATCCCTGACCTACGCATCTTTCGCCGTGCCCTCAAGACGTTATTGTTCCAACAAGCTGGGCTGGCCTAAACATTAATTTTAATGGGTTGCTTTTGTTTTTTAATGATGTTGGGGCCGAATTATTTAATATGTTTTTAAATTGCTTTTAAATTTTATATATGTGTTTGTTTTATCTTTGGCCGTGCACCGCCCTGAGTCCTTCGGGAGAAGGGCGGTATAAAAATTAGATTAAATAAAATAAATAAATAAAATAAATAAATATATGAAGAACGGTTACAGGAACTGGGCATGGCTGGTCTAGTGAAGAGAAGGACCAGGAGAGACAGGATAGCAGTCTTCTAATATTTGAGGGGCTGCCATAGAGAGGAGGAAAGGGGTCAAGCTATTTTTGAAGGCCAGGCAAGGAATAATGGATGGAAATGGATCAAGGAGAGATTCAACCTGGAAATAAGGAAAAAAATTCTGACAGGGAGAACAATCCACCCATGGAACAGAAGTTGCCTTCAGAAGTTGTGGGAGCTTCATCACTGGAGGCTTTCGAGAAGAGACTGGACTGCCATCTGTCAGAAATGGTGTAGGCTCTCCTGCTTGGGCGGTGGGTTGGACTAGATGACCTACAAGGTCCCTTCCATGATGAGTTGCTAGTCCTGGTTAGGGTCATTAAGTAAGGACCACCTATTCCTATTCCCCTTGCATTTCATTGCAATTCTTTTTTTTTTTTATTGAAAAGTTTTATAAAAGATACAAACATTTTCTCCCCCCCTCCCACCCCTCCACCATCACCCCATCCCACCCCCCTTGCCCACCCACCCAACCTGTCCCCCCCCCACCCCCCTCCCTAGACTTCCCAGAACAAGCACAGGGTATAGCAGTCACAAACATAAAACTAAAATATGCTAACGATTTGTTGGCTTCAAATTCTCCCTAGGTCTTTAACTCCTTATAACCTTAAAACACTATAAACATAAACTAAAGATTAAAAGTATTTCATTCATAAGCTATATGAAACTTCTTAGTCTGATACGTGTTTTGAATATAGTCAATCCATCTCCATTCCGATATATATCTTTCGTTTGAGTGATCTTTAAGATATGATGAAATTTTTGCCATTTCTGCCAAATGCGCGACTTTTAGTGTCCATTCCTCAATAGTAGGTGGATTTTCTTTCTTCCAGTACTGTGCCACCAGTAACCTGGCAGCTGTTATTAAGTTTAAAACCAACTTAGTCTCTGTCACAGTACAATCCGTAACTATTCCCAACAAAAAAAAACCTGTGGTGTAAATTTAATCTTTTTCTTTAAAATATTTTGAATAATCCACCATATTTTTATCCAAAAAGCCTTAATTTTTTTTACATGTCCACCATATATGAAAATACGTAGCATCTTCACACTCACATCGCCAACAATTAGGTTGTAAATTTGGATACATACAGGCTAATTTTTTTGGATCTAAATGCCATCTATAAAATTTCATTGCAATTCTTAAATTCACGATATAGCAGTTTTATGCCATGCACACAGATACTCCTCAACTTAGGACCGGTTGCTTAACTTACCTCTGAGAGACTCCGGAAAAAATTACTTATGACCTGTCCTCAAAGTTATGACTGCTACGCCATCCCCACGGTCGCATGATCGCAGTTCAGGTGCCTGGCAATCAGTTCGTACTTACGACCGCTTGCCAAGTATTCTGCCATCGTGGGATCGCCGTTGATAATCTTGTCTCCTGGTGTCCCCAGAAATTTCCATGCGTACGCGAATGAAAACGCGCAAGAATAATTCTGAAATTGTTCGGCTCATCCTTTGCATCGTAGGAACGGTGAACCCGACTATCATACTCGATACTTCATTCTCCCGTTTCATTTTTTCTTTTTCTTTTTCAGGTATTGTATCCAGATCTGGCACTTTGACTTACGAAGCCGTCCATCAAACAACTCAAGTCGGATTAGGACAGTCCTTCTGTGTTGGTGGGTTTGAAAGAGGCTCAGTTCATGCGTAAGATCTCACACACATGATTGTAGAAACTACATAGACACGCTTCCCCTCATCCTTTCTCTCTTAAATGTGTATTTTGTAAAGAGAATTAAGAAACACAATTTTAGCCATGTCGGGGGAAGATTTCTGGTGATTGCCATAGATGCCTGTGAAGATTCTCCATCATCCAAGATCACGTGAAGTGTTAATACCACTTTATAATGCCTTGGTAAGGCCACACTTGGAATACTGCATCCAGTTTTGGTCGCCACGATATAAAAAAGATGTTGAGAGTCTAGAAAGAGTGCAGAGAAGAGCCACAAAGATGATTAGGGGACTGGAGGCTAAAATGTGTGAAGAAAAGGTGCAGGAACTGGGTATGTCTAGTTGAATGAAAAGAAGGACTAGGGGAGACATGATAGTAGTCTTCCAATATCTCAGGGGCTACCCCAAAGAAGCTATTCTCCAAAGCATCTGAAGGCAGGACAAGAAGCAATGGGTGGAAACTAATCAAGGAGAGAAGCAACCTAGAACTAAGGAGAAATTTCCTGACAGTTAGAACAATTAATAACTTGCCTGCAGAAGTTGTGAATGCTCCAACACTGGAAGTTTTTAAGAAGAGGTTGGATAACCATTTGTCTGAAGTGGTGTAGGGTTTCCTGCCTAAGCAGTGGGTTGGACTAGAAGACCTCCAAGGTCCCTTCCAACTCTATTATTCTATTCTATTCTATCCAGGTGATGGTTGTCCCACAGGTGCTTTTTCCACAAGACAACTGGACTTTCTTGCTTTTTTTTTTTCCTTGAAGAAGCTTCGCTTCTTATCCAAGGACTAAAGAAGCTTCTTGGATGAGAAGCGAAACATTTTCAAGGGGGGGAAAAAACCCCAAGAAAAGTCCAGTTGCCTCTTGGAAAAAAATGCACCTTTGGGATACCCATAGATGCATTCACAAAATATTCTTGAGTCTTATTTCTTTAACCAGAAGGGAATAGCCTGACAGTGGAAGAATGGGTATCCTTCTGAGTTTGACTTCACGACAAAGTGAAAAAGGAGCCTGGTGGCGCAGTGGACTAAGTGCTGTTAAAGTAGCAGTTGCCAGCTGCCTGCAGTTACTGCAAGTTCAAATCTCACCAGGCTCAAGGTTGACTCAGCCTTCCATCCTTTCGAGGTAGGTAAAGTGAGGACCTGGATTGTGGGGGCAATAAGCTGACTTTGTATAAAATAGAACACCGCTTGGGAGGGGGTGGTGCCCGAAAGCCCTAAGCAGGTATATACAAAAGTATGAAGGCTATTGCTTAACGCATTGTAAGCTGCCCTGAGTCTCCGGAGAAGGGCGGCATATAAATCGAACCAATAAATAAATAAAATAAAGTGATGTCTGAAGCCAGTTCTGAGGAAGGGCAGTGTTAAAATGGCAGAGTTTCATTTAATTTGCTTTGGATGCCTCCGCTCCTGAATAAAAGTTTCTAATTAGAAACCCCAAGTATGTGAAAGTTTATAGGATTTAACAGAAGAACAGAGATGGAAGGGACCTTGGAGGTCTTCTAGTCCAACCCCCTGCTCAGACAGGAAACCCTACACCACTTCAGACAAATGGTTATCCAACCTCTTCTTAAAACTTCCAGTGTTGGAGCATTCACAACTTCTGGAGGCAAGTTGTTCCACTGATTAATTGTTCTCACTGTCAGGAAGTTTCTCCTTAGTTCTAAGTTGCTTCTCTCCTTGATTAGTTTCCACCCGTTGCTTCTTGTCCTGCCCTCTGGTGCTTTGGAGCCATACCATGTTTCCCCGAAAATAAGACCCTGTCTTCCATTTTTTTTGAACCCCGAAATAAGCACTTGGCCTTATTTTCGGGGAGGTCTTATTATTTTGGGGCGCGTGGAGCAAGATGGGGCTCCTCTTGCCGTCTTACCTGATTTCCAGCTCTACGTTTAAATATTTTTGGGGAGGGCTTATTTTCGGGGGAGGGGGGGAAGGCTTATTTCAGCGCATGCGCTCAAAAGCCCAATTGGGCTTATTATCAGGGGATGTCTTATTTTCAGGGAAACAGGGTAGCTTGACTCCCTCTTCTTTGTGGCAGCCCCTGAGATATTGGAAGTCCGCTATTATGTTCACCCTGTAGTCCTTCTTTTCATTAAACTAGACATACCCAATTGCCATAACCATCCTTTTGTATGTTTTTGCCTTTTTTTTGATGCCTTTATGATTTACGATGGTTGGCCCATGCGATCGCCATTTCAGCCTTGCCCAGCCAACTTCCGATGAGCAAAATCACTGGGGCGAAGCCAGATTCACCTTACAAATCTCACGATTCACTTAACACCTGCAATGGTTCGGTTAACACACTCCTGCCAAAAAGGTCATAAAATTGAGCGTTAGTCACTGAACAACCGTCTTGCTTAGCAATGTTTAATTGTTCTCACTGCCAGGAAATTTCTCCTTAGTTCTTAGGTTGGTTCTCTCCTTGATTAGTTTCCATTCATTGCTTCTTGTCCTGCCTTCTGGTGCTGAAGCTGAAGTTCTGAACTTTGCAGTTCTCCTGCGTGTAACCTGCTACCTTGCAAAATTGCCCATGGGGGGGGAAAGAGATGATATAACTGCCTTCTATTTATAGGGCAGCAAAGGCAGGCCTTTACCATATGAAACATACTCCCTGCATTCCTCAGTGTGGTGTTAAGACTGAGGATAGGCTCTCAAATGTCCACGCAAAACGGTTTTGAGTCGATGAAATAAAACTTTAGCAAAGCGTCCATTTATATTGTAATGAGTTTTGCCATTCCAGTCAGAGGCTTCCAACACTCTCCTTGGTCGAGGTGTGAATTTAATCCTTTCTCTCTTTTTTTAATTTTTAATTTTTTTTTAATATAAACATTCCATCTTCCCTTAAGCAGCTTTTCGCCTGGGTACAAATACTTCTGTGCAATAACCAGCAAGATTTACAACAGCATTGTAAAACATTGATATTAATTCTCTAATCTTACAATTGTAGTATTGAACATAGTAAACCTATTCATTTTTTCCTCTTGACATATCTTCTAATAAGAATATAATATAAAACATAATATTCCGAATAGTAACAATCATATTGTTTACATTTCTAAACATATTTTCTACTCTTCTTTAATCTCCTTTTTTTAATTTCCAACTTCCATTTCTATTCTCTAACCATTGATACAATAATTCCCATATTCAGTTTGTGCTGTCTCCTTAATGGCAAGTGTTAATCTGTTCATTTCTGCACATTCTAATATTTTCCTGATCACCTTCTCATCAGTAGGGATCTCTTCACTTTTCCAATGTTGTGCAAATACAATTCTAGCTGCCGATAATACATGGATAATTAAATATGCGTTCTCTTTACCATAAATTCCAGGTAAAATCCCCAACAAAAATATTTCTGGTTTTAAATCAGTGTGCAGCTTTATCATCTTTTTCCAGGTGTGGACTTAATCTATGCGTGATTAAGTTCTCTGAGTAAATTATCAGCCAGAGAACCTTTGAGTAGTTCATTTTTTTGCAGGTCCAATATTCATCTGGCTGTGAAAAACAATGAAATCTGTTTTATTCTATAATTCTTCTGCTTTCCTTTGAGTTCCATTCTGTTTCAATTCTGGCCGGATTTTAAATTGGGCTGTTTTTTCTATACCAGAATTAACCTGTCATTAACTGAGTTGGAAGGGACCTTGTAGGTCATCTAGTCCAACCTCCCGTCCCCCAAGAGGAGACCTTACAGCATTTCTGACAGATGGCAGTCCAATCTCTTCTTGAAAGCTTCCACCGATGAAGCTCCCACAATTTCTGAAGGCTCAACATGTGGGAGGGGGCATTCTGCTGTCTTTTGCCTTTCAGCTCCAATCCAGGAGCCCTCAAGCAGTCGCATTCACGACAAACCATTTTTATACCAAATTTATATTTTTGCTGATAAAGAAATAAAGGGAGATTAGTATAGATCTATTTCAAGCTTTTTAGTTTTCATCAGCTAGCCACACCCTTACTCGGATTCGAACTTGAGGGCTCCTGGATTGGAGCTGAAAGGCAAAAGGGAGCAGAATGCCCCCCTCCCACATGTTGGGGTAGACGAGGTGTCTCGGTAAACGCTTAATCTTTCCCCTGGCTCAAGCTGATGAAGGGAGGAGAACTTGTGGCTCAGAAGATTAATTCAACTGCCTAACGTGCAGGAAGCCCAAGTTCGAATCTGAGTAAGGGTATGGCTAGCTGATTTTACGACCCATCTTGCCACAATGTGAATCGCTGTAATGGTTCAGTTAGTAACATGGTTGTGCTTCCCCCATTTTATTTTATTTTTTTAAAATTTGATTTATATGCCGCCCTTCTCCGGAGACTCAGGGCGGCTTACAATGCGTTAAGCAATAGCCTTCATACTTTTGTATATTTATACAAAATCAGTTTATTGCCCCCATAATCTGGGTCCTCATTTTACCTACCTTAGAAAGGATGGAAGGCTGAGTCAACCTTGAGCCTGGTGAGAATTGAACTAGCAGTAATTGCAGGCAGCTGTGTTAATAACAGGGTGCTTAGACCACTGTGCTATCAAGGCTCTTTCCCTCATTGACTTTTTGCTCGCCAGAAGGTCGCAAAAGGGGATCACTTTTCTCTCCTCACACACCCACCCACCCCTGGGACACTACAGCCATCACAAACATGACGAATGTTCAAATTTTGACCACGGGGGATGCTAAAGGGGTCGCAAATGCGGAAAACAGTCAGAAGTCATTTTTTTCCAGTGCCGTTGTAACTTCCAGTGGTCACTAAACAAACTGTTGTAAATTGAGGACTATCCGTGTTTGTATGTTGCCCAAAAAACCAGAAGGATCGGTAATTCCTTGCAAAAAAAAAAAAAAAGTTGAAAAATCACAACGGTTATTTAACGCTAAATCTTCAGTAGCCTCCGAATGCATAATGTCGCCCCTTCGCGGCTCTTTTAATTCAATTTTATTTTTCTCACAGGGATAGGAGGAGACCCCTTTAACGGGACAAATTTTATTGACTGCCTGGATGTCTTCCTGAAGGACCCCCACACTAGTGGGATCATATTGATAGGGGAGATCGGCGGGAATGCCGAGGAAGACGCCGCGGATTTCCTTAAACAAAATAACTCTGTAAGCTGGAATGTTCCAGAAATGTTCTGACTGAGGTGGAAACTTTCTGGGTTTTTTGAAAAGGAGGCAAGGGGGTGGGGGAAATTGCTCATTTAAAAGCTCTCTTAAAGCCATTGGATTGCCTCCAAATACAGTATGTCTTTGCATTCAGGGAGATTTTGATACACTTGTATAGACGGATTTCTGAAAAAGATGAAATTCAAACTGAAAATGTGCTTTTCTTGCACACAGTTTTCCACAGAATAAGAAGACAGTCTTTCCTTATCTCCTCCTTTAGTGAGGTTGATTTCCTTTTTTCCCCTCTCCTCTCCTCTCCTCTCCTCTCTCCTCTCCTCTCCTCTCCTCTCCTCTCCTCTCCTCTCCTCTCCTCTCCTCTCCCCTCCCCTCCCCTCCCCTCCCCTTTCCTTTCCTTTCCTTTCCTTCCTTTCCTTTCTCTTTTCTTCCTTTCCTTTTCCCTTTCTCCTTTCCTTTCTCTTTTCTTCCCTTCCCTCTTTTTCTCTTTTCTTCCTTTCCTTTCTCTTTTCTTCCTTTCCTTTCCCCTTTCCCTTTTCCCTTTTCCCCTTTCCCCTTTCCCCTTTTCCCCTTTCCCCTTCCCTTCCCTTCCCTTCCCTCTTTTTCTCTTTTCTTCCTTTCCTTCCCTTCTCTTCCCTTCCCTTCTCTCTTATTTCTCTTTTTCCCTTCCCTTTCCCTTTCCCTTTCATTATTGAATCCTGCTGAATCAGTTACTTGTGTGGGCTTTCTGGATGTGATTGCTGCTGCAAACTCTTGACAGTCCTTGCAGCAAATCGCGAACAGCCAGATCAGCTTCAGCACATTATTGCAGCCTGATTCAGCACGAGCAGCTGATTGGCGGGGGGATCGGCCTCCCCAATCAGCTGTTCCAGGCTCCAGGGATTGCCACAGACTATCGCCACCTCTGTGCCTTGCTACAAAAACTTGCTACGTTTTGGCTACATTCGGTGTATAAGACGCACCCAAATTTTCACCCTCCTTTATGGGGGAAGGGGGGGGAGTGTTGTCTTATACTCTGAAAAATACAGTAAATATTCCTTCAGCTATTCTCTCCTACAGATTTTTTTCATGGCTCAGCTGCTCCATGTTTCTCTCCTCTGTTTTACCTTTAAAAAGAATGATGGAATAATTAGCTAAAATAGTCCAAATTCTGCATGTGTGTGTATATATTTGGGGAGCTGCCGTTCTATCAATAGCACTCAGTCGGGCTCAGTTGGAACTCGGCACCATTTAATAGGCCACCCAGTGCCCGTTTCTGCCTCGAATATTTCCAGCAAAAGCTGTTTTCTGTCTTTCTCAGTTTAACTTTTATGGAGTTTTCATGACCGGCTTGTGCTCAGCACAGCAGTTCTGCTCCAGTTTTCTGGGCTTCCAAACTCCAAGCTGCTATTCCGGCATTCCTTCTCTGAGAGCTTAGATGCATCCTTTATTCTCTGACCGTGCTGTTAATTACTCTCCCCGGGCCAATTGTATTTCTGCTTGGCTTTCTGAAATGCGCCTCTTTTTTTTTTTTTCTTTCCCAGGGTTCGAACTCCAAACCCGTGGTCTCGTTTATAGCCGGAGTCACTGCTCCTCCGGGCAGGAGAATGGGCCACGCGGGAGCCATCATTGCCGGTGGGAAAGGTGGAGCCAAAGAGAAGATTGCAGCCTTGCAGAATGCTGGAGTCGTCGTCAGTATGTCTCCCGCCCAGCTTGGATCCACGATGTATAAGGTTAGCCAGTCGGTTCTTGGAAAATTCGGGTAAACGAGGCTGCTTATTTAAGGGCGTCCCGACAGAACCCAAATCTTGGCCATTGTGAAGCCTGCTCTACTTCTTTCTTAGGTGGGGGGAAAAAATATGGGACAGATTTGGAAATGTGTGTTCCAGTTCTTATTCGATCCTGCAGTGCGGCTTCCCTGGCTTAGCTCACATTTCATGTTTCTTGCGAGGTTAAAACGAGGCAGTCGTTACCTGCCAGGCTGAGACGGATGGGTGGATGGATGGATAAGTAGATAGATGATAGGTAGGTAGACAGAGAGAGAGAGAGAGATAATAGGTAGATGATAGATGATAAATAGGTAGATGATGGGTAGGTAGGGGGAGAGAGAGAGAATAAATAATAGATAGACAGACAGACAGACACGCGGTGGCTCAGTGGCTAAGACGCTGAGCTTGTGGAACAGAAGGTCGGCAGTTCAGTGGTTCGAATCCCTAGTGCCGCGTAATGGGGTGAGCTCCCGTGACGTGTCTCAGCTTCTGCCAACCTAGCAGTTCGAAAGCACATAAAAAAAATGCAAGTAGAAAAATAGGGACCACCTTTGGTGGGAAGGGAACAGCGTTCCGTGCGCCTTTGGCGTTGAGTCATGCCGGCTACATGACCACGGAGACGTCTTCGGACAGCGCTGGCTCTTCGGCTTTGAAGCGGAGATGAGCACCGCCCCTAGAGTCGGGAATGACTAGCACATATGTGCGAGGGGAACCTTTACCGATAGATAGATAGGTAGATAGATAGGTAGATAGATGGATGGATGGATGGATGGATGGATGGATGGATGGATCGACAAATAGGTAGATGATAGATAGATGATAGATAGATAGATGGATGGATGGATGGATGGATCGATCGATCGATCGATCGATGGATGGATGGACAAATAGGTAGATGATAGATAGATAGATAGATAGATAGATAGATAGATAGATAGATAATAAATAGGTAGATGATAGATAGATAGATAGATAGATAGATAGATAGACAGATAGATGATAGATAGATAATAAATAGGTAGATGATATAGATAGATAGATATATAGATAGATAATAAATAGGTAGATGATAGATAGATAGACAGACAGACAGGTTACCCTTTTATGTTATTTTAGTGTTAGCTGTCCTTGACATAAAAAATAAAGGGACATTTTACAGAATTAAATTAACCAGGCTGTACAGCTTATCGGAAGTCATTGTAGCCCTCTGGATCAGCTAACGATTCACATTTACCAGCCTCAGTGCCCTGCAGTTATACTCCCCTGCCTTCTTGTGGGATCAGAGCATTTTAACAAGGTGCTATTTGCACGCCAGGCCAGGCAGAGACAGTCTGGGACAAAGAAGTGAAATGGGAAAGGAAGACGATTCGGAAGAATTTGTTGCAGCTTTGGTGATTGTTGGACTCGTATCAGAAGCACCGAGGTGCTTCCGGGTTGAAAGGATTAGCCAGTGAGATCACTATTGCCCTAGGGATGCCCACCTGAGGACTCCTTTCATGTCCCCGGCAGGAGCTGGAGCAAAGGGTGGGAGCTCACCCCATCCATTGGCAACACTCGGGTCTCGAACGCGAGCTTGCTAACCTGAAGCCAGCATCCTAACCACTGTGCAGCTTCGGTTAAAAACTTCCTTTTTGTCTCTTTTTCTTAACCCTCCAGGAGTTTGAGAAGAGGAAAATGCTATGAGAAAAGTATGGTCGGGATGTCTCTGCAAAAAATAAATAAATCACACACTCTTCACTTCCCTCCACGCCCTGTATTCTCCGCGTACTCCTGTTTTTTTGTCGGAATACAGCAGCGCTCCGTCTTACAAAAGTCAAATTTTAACACCACCAGGGTTGATTTTGGTGGGTTCATGATTTCACATGTGATTGTACATCGATAGTCAATAAATCAATCTACTACTACTGAATTCGATTCTTTGAAATCGATTTCTTCGATTTCTTTGATGCTTGGTACCGTTTTCCTTGCATTGCTAGCACGGGGGGGATTTAGAAAAAAAATCCGGTACCTAAACTGTTTAGACGTTTTACCATCTGCTAAAATTTATACTCTAATGTTGCTTTTCTGTTTACGTTTGGGGTTTTTTATGCTTTGTGTTTGGCTGGCCGTCGTGCCTGATGCAGAAACAGCTATGCTTCCTGTTGTTAGATTCACCTATTAGTCCTCAAAACAATTTTTTTTTTAATATACATTTTTCTCAGCTAATTTTTTCCCCCCAAAGTTGGTATAAAAATTCCAGGCCAGAGTGAAGATTGTGGACTCCATTGTACTAAGAGGTGAAACTGCAGTTGCCCGGGGTTGCAATTCATATTTTTTCCCGATGCGTTATAGTCACAGTCCAAATTTTTGCAAAAGCATCTTTTTTTTTTATTTAATCCAGATACAGCAATGCTTAATCTTAACAAAATAAACTTTTTAACGCCAGCAGAGTTGATTTGGGTGGTTCGTAGGTAGGTAGGTAAAATTCTTCCTCGTGAAGTTTTCCTAAATGAATGAGGGGAAAAGAAATATAAAAAGACTTATTTTTTTATATTCGTGGACTAGGCATCTTGAAAAAGTTTTAAATAAAGGAAATCTGATCCTTCAGTTCCGTGCTCTGTTGAGCCAAGCCACAATACTTCTGTGCGATGTTACATGTCCTTAAATATTATGTAACAGTTTGTTAATTCAGATTCTGCATGTAGAATCCGAGTGTTGATTTCAGGATGCAGACTTAATCTCCGAGTACTGTACGTGTGTCATTCTTCTACTTATAACATCTTCCATAATAAACATTTTCCCATCAACTTCTCTGAATTCCAACTTCCTGCTTTGTGTCTACGTTAGAATCTCTGCCGATAGCAGGGGCAAAACTGAAACAACTTTACATTGCATTCAGTGTTAAAATGTGTTGTTACCTAGGCTTCCTGAGTCATTAAAACACATGAGTAGTCCCAAAAACCTCTTTTATTGCAGCAGCTGTGAATTACGTTCATTCACAGCTGAGTCCCAATTAGTTGCAAAAAGTCCTTCGGGAGAAGTCCTTTGGGATAATCACCAACTTTTATTTCCCTTGACACTCTGCTAAAGATCTACTTGGCAAAGCCACACGGATTCCAGAATCAAACAGAGATGCCGACTGGGAACAGAATTAACAATGTTGCTTTCCTGCAAAGTGCCCACCTGTCTTTGCTCCTCTTTTAAGCCTTATGGGAGGGGCCAATCGTCTCCAGGCCTTACTCCTGAGTTGTCTCTTTTGGTTTAACTGTTTGTACCTTCTGGCAGCTCTGCGCATGAGCGCACTAGGAACAGGCTCCTCCTGTTCCTCTGCCCCTCTGCTGTCCAACTCTGAAGGCTCCGGAGTCCGTGCATCACTCCCAGATGGCCCTGGCCCCATCTCTGCCTCTGATGCAGAACCTTCATCCGGGCCTTCCCCAGACTCCAGGACTGGCCCATGTTCCTCCCCAGCCTCCTCACTATCCGACTCTACTACCAGTTCCGCAGGCTGCTGGCGGACCATAACAAAATGACTGACTTACAGTACCACTTACCTTTGCCAAATGCTCTACAGCGAGATTGTCAAACTCAATTTCATCGAGGGCCACATCAGGGCTGTGATTGATCTCGGGGGGGCTGGGGGGGGCGTGGCCGACTGGGCTGGTGAGGCCAACTGGGTGGGTGTGGCCAGCTTGACACCACTCCCCAAACTGCTGGCATGTTTCCTCTTCGCATTGGGTAGACCAGGCCGGAGTGACGGGGGCCGGTCCCTCTAGGATGGCCCCATGGGCCGGATCTGACCACACTGTGGGCCAGATTCAACCCGTGGGCCTAGTGTTTGATACACCTGCTCTACAGGTCCTCACGTTACGACCGTAATGGAGTCTTCCCATTGCGATCGTTAAGTCTTGACAGTCACAAAGCCTCTAAAAGGATTCTACAATCTCTGGTAATTTTTAGGCAAATACCACAGTCATAAAGCAAATCTCTGGTTTGCCATGGGTCGGTTTTTCCTGACACCTGGAAGTAAATGCCAGTTTTTGGCAAAACCATCATAATATATGATCATGGGACACTAGACAGTGGAAAATATGTGCAGTCGTGACTGTCCGAATTGTAAGAATCATAAGAGCCGTGGTGGCGCGGTGGTTAGAACGCAATATTGCAGGCTAATTCTGCTGACCGCCAGCAGTTCGATCCATATATATATATATTTTCTGAGGTTTTCGCAGGTATTTGTATGTAGGTCTTTGGTTATTCAGGTTTTCTCCCCGTGTAAAATTGGAAGTGCCTTGGCGACCTTTCGACAAAGTCTCATTCGTCATCTTCAGGCTGGTGTTTTCGGCTTCGTGTTTCTAGGAGCAATGTGAGATCGCAGCTGTTTCTTCCTTTTAATAGCACAGTTAAAAGGAAGAAACAGCTGCGATCTCACATTGCTCCTAGAAACACGAAGCCGAAAACACCAGCCTGAAGATGACGAATGAGAGACACTTCCAATTTTACGCGGGAGAAAACCCGAATAACCAAAGACCTACACACACACACACACACACACACACACACACACATATATATATGTCTTTTAATGACCCTGTAATCCCTTACATCAGGGTGGAGTCTGGGCAACTGAATGGAGCTAGTAGTGTGGTTTTTTTTTTTTTTTAACAGCCGGATGCCCTTCCTGTTGCCAATGCAGAGTTTTGTTCAGCAGACATATTCTCATTGTGCCCAGAGAGAGAAAATATCTGCCTCTACCTAGGATCGAACTCACCGCCTCCTGATCGTGAGGCGAGAGCTCCACCTCTAGGCCACTGCATCACTCACTTCAGAAATCTCCATAACCTCCTAAAATACAGATCGTTCATTTTCTTCAAGGCTTAATAATAATAAAAAAAATCCTTGTGTGTCCGATCACACTTGGCCGATAAAGAATTCTATTCTATTCTAAAAATAGGAGACATAACTTCGGATTGGCACCATTATCTCGGATGAGGCTTTGGCTCAGTCTGTGGCAGAATCCCTTAAAAGTTGGGAGGTTACCTTCTCATGATCTAAGCAGAAAAGGGGAAGTTGTGTTGAAAAAGTTGCTGTGTCAAATCTGATTCAAAGTCTCTGTGAGCATATACCGATGGGGCATTGTGTTATTCTAAAACCGTCTTGTTTTTGCAATCGGAATCAGACACCAAGTGCTTTCTGACTTTCGCTTCTTCACACATAGCTTGAATTGCATAATAATAAAAAAAAATAATTAAGGAACGCGGTGGCTCAGTGGCTAAGACTCTGAGATTGTCGATCGAAAGGTCGGCAGTTCAGTGGTTCGAATCCCTAGTGCCGCGTCACGGGGTGAGCTCCAATATAACTTTTCAAATCACGATGTGATTTACAGTTTGACATTGGACCCTGCAGTCGCACTGAAGGATGATCAGGCGATCACCCTGCTAGGGATCCCGATTTTTTAAAAATACGATCTGATCATTTTTTGGTAATAAAATGGCTGCCGTGAGCTTTTGCCAGCACTAGAGGGCAGCAAAATACTATGGGGAAAAAAAGGGGGAAGGTACTTTTTAATAAAAGTACTGTAATATTTGGGATCGAGAAAGAGCAACCTTTTGTGGCAGAAAGGGGCAAATGTAACATCCTGGAGAATATGAGGACCAAGTAAGCAAGGGATCAATCCAGGGGTGAAATCCAGCAGGTTCTGACAGGTTCGGGAGAACCGGTAGCGGAAATTTTGAGCAGTTCGGAGAACCAGCAAATACCACTTCTGGCTGGCCCCAGAGTGGGGAGGGAATGGAGATTTTGCAATAGCCTTCCCCTGCCACGCCCACCAAGCCATACCACGCCCACCAAGCCACACCCACAGAACCGGTAGTAAAAACATTGGATTTCACCACTGGATCAATACATTTTTCTGTTTTCCCCAGATACTCTGAGCCACTGGGGAAATTCAATTTTTTTTACTACTGATTCTGTGGGTGTGGTGTGGCTTGGTGGGCATGGCAGGGGAAGGATACTGCAAAATCTCCATTCCCGCCCCACTTGGGGCCAGCCAGAGGTAGCATTTGCCGGTTCTCCCAACTACTCAAAATTTCTGCTACCGGTTCTCCAGAACCTGTCAGAACCTGCTGGATTTCACTCCTGCTCTGAGCGTGCTGGTAGGCAATGTACAGAACTTCCTCTCTTTTTTTTTTTTCCATTCAGTTTTGTGGGAAACCCGCTCCCCCCATTCAAGAGAATGAAATATTTTGGGGAATATTAAGAGGCAGAATGAATGGTGCGGTGGCCTAAAGATGAAACTCTCGCCTCACAATCAGGAGACTGTGAGTTCGATCCTAGGTAGAAGCAGATATTTCTCTCTCTCGGGCACGATGAGAATATATCTGCTGAACAAAACTCCGCACTGGGAAGAAGGGCATCCGGCCAGGAAACGTTCAGCTCCATTCAGTTGCCCAGACTCCACACTGCAAGGGATTATGGGGTTGTTAAAAGATGATGATGATTAAGAGGCAGAATATTATATTTCCCCAAAGAAGAAATGGACAAACATGCTCTTAAAGGCAGAAAGCAGCCCCAGTTTCCTGCATAGTAAAACAGCTTCCAGCAGATGCCTGAAGTCTTTACAGATGGATATTTTGTGCCTATTAAGAAATACAGGCCAATCTATTCACAAACAAAACACCTTCAGCTTCCAGGTGAGGGGATTAAGATGGATAGGAGGTGACCTATCCATCTTTTAGGACATAATAGGATTAACCCACTACTATTGAAATAGCAAAAAGACACAAAAGCCCCTCCATTGCACAATCCCCAAGAACAGTTCAAACTTCAAAGTCACAGAAACCTATAAAGATCCATCTACTCATTCAACCAATTTGTCAGCTGTCCCAGAACCGCATGCTGTTGTTGGTTCTGCTTCATCCGTAAACAGAATCCTTCTTTCCAATCAGCCTCCATTTTATTTCCAGGTTTTTCCTTTCTCCCGGATTGGAACCGGTCCGGATTTTTTCCCCCCAACAGTTTCATGAAAGGCTTACCGTCAACATTTCATTCAAGGGAGAGGAGAATGCAGTGCACACCCGAGGAGGCCCAGGTCTGCGCGAGAATGTGTGTTTTGTTCTTTTGATAGTATAATTATCTCTCCAAGGCAGCCATTCTCAACCTTTTTTACCCAGAAGGAAGTCTTGAAAATAAGGCTCAGCTCTCCAGGAAAATGCAAAATCCTCTCCACGGAATTCCATTTGAGCCTGCACAAATGTTTAACAGCCTTTATAACAATCACAAACTCTCAACCAGCCACCGAGTTTGGATTTCTAGGAATTCCCTGTGAAGGCTAGCATTGCATAGGGCACGAAGCAGTGGTGGAATTAAGCCGGTTCTATCTAGCGACGATTGTGGGATGCTCCGTCCACGTGCCCGGATGTCATCACGTCCCGTTTTTTACCCTCTGCGCACGCGTGGAAGGCTCTTAGCATATGAACGGAGGTGGTGCGTGCGAGTGAAGCGAGCGCATGTTTGCGCGTGCTCACATTTGCAAACCAGTAGCGATGCGGTGGCTCAAGTGGCTAAGACGCAGAGCTTGTCGATCGAAAGGTCGGCAGTTCAGCAGGTTCGAGTCCCTAGCGCCGCGTAACGGGGTGAGCTCCCGTTACTCGTCCCAGCTTCTGCCAGCCTAGCAGTTCGAAAGCACGTAAAAAAATGCAAGTAGAAAAATAGGGACCACCTTTGGTGGGAAGGAAAAAGCGTTCCGTGCGCCTTTGGCGTTGAGTCATGCCGGCCACATGACCATGGAGACGTCTTCGGACAGCGCTGG